GGATTTTGAAGTTTTGAGGAGACGGGAAGGGACGGAGGAAGGGTGTGGGTGTGGGTGTGCAGTTTTGGAGATGAGGACTATTTGATTTTTTTAGGGTGTCACTCTCTATCCCAGAAAAGTTTTTTTTAAAAATATAGCCGACTTGGTTATGTATTCGTTCATTTGTCGAGAGTTTTGGCTATGTGCTCCGGTTTTCAACTCCATCGTCCCAACAAGGGCAATACTCGGTGTTAAAGGGGTTCACCATATACGCCCAGCGCAGCTAGCTTAACCCTCACCGCTGCCAAGAGAGGCCCGCCTCGCCTGGGTGCTGGAAGTGCCTTGGATACCCACCTGCGAACGCAGTCTCCCTTTCCAGACAGAAACGTGAGCGGACGACAATATCCCAAACCCTTTCACCAAAACCCCTTTCAACAAACTTCGCCTACAAAATCACACTCTTCTCATCCCGAATCCCGTAGTTTTCAGAAAATTATTAAGTGCAAGCAGCAGGTATCATTCCGCCCGCTCCGTACAGCAAATCTAGTACTCCCTTCTCCCAAACATACCGTGGCTGAATGGTCTAGTAGTATGATTCTCGCTTTGGGTTGTTCCTCTCCTTGCGGAGAGGGAGAACAAATTTGCGAGGGGTCGGGGGTTCAATTCCCTCTTCAGCCCGTTAGAGGTCCTAGCAGTTCGATCCAAGGATCAACGTTTCTTTTGTAAGAAACAACGGGGATTGGTGTGTGATTTTTTTAGATATAGCCCACAATGGGGGTTGATTAACTTTTTGGCAGTTTTTGCGTTTCAAGAGTGCAAAGTAGATGGAGATTTCAAGCTGCAGATTTTAACCCCACGACTGCCCAAAGTGAAGTACTGTCGTGTTGGAGAAACCTTTCGAAAGCGGTTAGCAGCCCATGTGTAATAGACTTTCCAAACAATCAAATAGCAGCCAGCTTGTTTGAAAATAGTGACCTTTAAATCACACATCCTGCTTGACAACGACCTTACACCCCGGCACCGCCGCTTCCACCTCCTTCCTCCCCACTGCAGACAGATACACCGCCTCCTCCACCCTCACTATCAAATTCTTCAATCTCGCGCCACCTTTCACCAAGACGGCGTTCCTGAGCTCGTGCGGTAGCGGCAGCGTGTCGATGGAAATATCCAGGTCCGTGAGGTTGGGTGCGGCGAGGAGGACATGGCTGAGGGTTGGGAGGGGCATGCGAGGGTGCGGG